GTTTCTAAATTAACCTCTAAAGTGTTTTGATACAAGCGTCGAATATTCTTTGCATTTCTTCAGCGGATAAATCTGTATAAATGTAAACTTTAATGTAACTTCTTCTATTATTATAATATTATTGATGAAATATTTTTATTTGCAGGGAGGTGATATTCTTCTAGAAACAATTTCGTCTAATGTTACCGAAGATCTGATTACTCTTGAATTTCAACGTTCCGATGGCACGTTGGTCACGCAACTCATTGATTTTAAAAATGTAATTATTTTTCAAACAAAAAGATGTATAAAAGAAGAAGCTTTTATGATTTATTGCATGAACAATGTGCTTTTTATAGGAAGTTCAAGTTATAAAAGCTCTGGTGCTTGGTGAGGAGGAACGTGGACAAAATCAATATCAAGTCATGTGTTTCGTGAATCATTTTTACAAAGTAGATTTTATATCATCCGATGCAATGTCTAAACTGCGCCAGAAGAATCCGGGTACTGTACGTGTAGCAGAAGAGGATCGAGGCCATGTCAATTATACAATGGACTTGTTCCTGGATGTGTCTCAGTCAAAGGAGATCTCGAAGCATGTTACCATGCTGTGTGCAGAAGCAGCTGGATCAACTTACACTAGAAATGATGATATAAAACAGTGGATTCAAAGACCAGGTAATTATCTATGAAACAAATGTAGTACAATTATATGTATTATGTATATATATTATAAAAGTAGTAATGTTATTTTACTGTAGTTATTTTAACAGCATTAATTTTTATAACATCATTAGGTTCCTCGGAAGAGTTACTCATGGCAGCTGTATATAACTTCACAAATGTGCCACAATCGAGCGCGAATGACACAAGATCATTGTTGGTTTCCAAATGTGCTGATACATCAAATCTGTGGGCACCTTGCACATGCTCATTGGAATTATGTATCGGCTGGTATCCGTGTGGTCTGAAATTCTGTAAAGGAAAATCGGATGGCAAAAAGATAGCGAGCACCTATCGATGCGGTATAAAAACTTGTAAGAAATGTTTTATATTCTCGTATTATTCTAAAATGAAACAGAACTGTCTATGGGATGAATGACATATAAGGACACTATAGATTGAAAATTTGAATATAAATTAAAACTATATACACGTTGCAATACAATAAAAAACTAAAAGATTCTAGAAACAAATTAAATAAATTAGATATTTAAAAATTTTATATTATTCTAAATAGAATATAAAGCAGAATTCTCGAAAAAAAAACTAGATTAAAACTTCTATATCTTTTTAATTTATGTATATACAGTCTGAAATAGGTGGTTCTACTTTAATATTCTACTCTTCCTAAATGAAAAAAGATCACAGATCTGGAAACTTTTCCTTAGAAAGAGAAGAATATGGAAAATGGAACCCATTTCACCATCATTTTGTACAGTAATTCTTATTCAGTAATTACAAATCAAAAATTTTTTTGTGAATGGATTTGAAATCAAAATGTTGATTTGTTTTATATATTTTACTCTAGATATCATATTTAAAGCCAAAGTATATCTAGCAAAAATATTTTTGCAAGATTATTATATTTAAACTTAAAATAAATCTTTGAAAAATTTTATAAATAGGTTATATTTTTTTTGAAAGGCTTTATATTAAAAGAGTGGACAAAAAAGTTTAATATTATTTAAAGAAAATCGCTAAATATTAATAAATTTCGTATATTGTTTTTTTAGATCTTATATCAAACATACAATTTATATATATAATCATGTAGATTTTACTGAGTGGATATTTGTAACATTTATAACTTTTTTTTTACATCTCGTTTGCATGAAATTTTATATCCATACATTCCAACATATTTATAATAAAATATTTTGACATATTGTTCTTAAGCCTACTTTCAAAATTTGCTTGTTTGTTATAAGAAAAACATTTGTTTTAAAAACAGACAACTATTCATATACAAATAGAAATATAAAGAACATCATGTCCTGTGATTAGCAATCATGTGTTCCAAAAAAATTACTTTTACTTCTATTGATTTTATTTAACATTCCTAACATTATTTACATCTACGACCAGTAAAATCATTCCAATTATATATTCGCCGTAATTTTGGTATTACATATCTGTTACTATAATACTTTTGGTTTATATTATGTTACAAATAATCCATTCAAAAACATAGAAATGTTCTGTTTTATTTCTTGACCAGGGGAATGTTGGGATAATTTATACGTAAGAGAATTTTATACGTGATTTGTAAAGCTGCCATTTATACATTGTATGTGTGTATATTATATGTTATAATTGTACATAACGCAGACACAAATAATAATAGATACCGTGATGTAGATATAAATTCATGTACATATGAATTCGTATTAATAGTTGAGAATTGTACAGTTATGTAAGATTTGCAGTACTGTGCGAGACTTTATACTAATATTATCAATTATATTGATACGTTAAGTATCTGAAATTTGTAAAAAATATCTTTGCATATTTCAATAAGATGGTATATTCAACGGATCATTGCGAATAAGACTGTAAAATCTGTCCATTTAATGTATAATGATTAAGCCATTGCTCTTTAAAATTCCTCATACACCATACTTTGTATTTATAGTACAAGAAAAATTATTTGAAACAAAAAAATACGTACGTATATTTACATTTGTAATCCAACGTTCACGTGACGTTTATGACAAATATCTAGCAGTATTTGTCAATAATCCTTTTATACTGCGAATGAAAAATGTACAATGTAATGTGTTAATGGTGCCGAGAAAGTGTACTCAATATGATTCCCTAAATAGACCTCGCCACCTATTGCCATGTCCTAGTAGTCGATTGCTATGAATACAAAAATGTAGCAAAAATGATGATAGATTGAGATATTGACAATTTTTTATAGGACAGAGGCGGGATTAAGTAATTGAAGTTATTCCATTCGACAAGTAGATTTCAAAATTTTTTAAATATCAAACAAATTGTTTAACACTATATATTTAACATTATATATTTAATCTCATGATAATTTTTTTATATTTTACTTGGAATTGAAATATGTTAGAATATTAACTGCTTTGATTTTTTTATTATACGCACAAGATAATAGAAGATTATTCTAAAAGTGACTTTAAGTATCATTATTTAAAATGAATTTTTATTTCTTCATCTTAATAAAATGCCTAATCCCGATTCTGCCACAATTGATAAACACATACATTAAGCGACGTCGCACAATTCGACTCATTATTTACATATAAATCAATGGGGATTAATACATAAAATGTGATAGGATGAATTCGTAAATGATGCATTGTTTATACAGAAATATATGTATATAGATTCAGCAGGGTGATTTGAAGACTAATTTTATTTTGATGATCTTATCATTGACCATTTTAATTACGATAGTGATTTTGCGATGAATATTAGAAATGAAAGGGCGATATGTGCAATAATAATTTCTAGATAACGAGATGGAATATTTAAATATTTATAATAATTTATTTAATATACTTGTTTTCTTCATGTGCCTGTTGTTTAATAAATGTATTATATTTATTTGATAAAACACTTTATTCCTATAGTTAGATTTTCTTAACGAATGAAGCGATTCTGTAATGAGAAATATTTGATCATTATATCAACCCTTTTGATGTAATTTATGAGTATCACTATACTATGTATGATTTCAGCTTTACACATAATGTTGTATCTTATACACATATTTTTTATATATATTTAATAAAAAGAATTAATATACATGATATATGTTTTAATGACAATTGCAATTTTAATGTGGTAATCCAAAAGATTGTATCTAATATATACATGTACAATTAACATATATTGTTTATGATATTACTTACGATATTGTTTCGCGAAAGATACCAATGTTCTCCAGAAGATTATATAATTTTATCACGTGCATCAAATTTCATAATGAAAAATTTTATTTTAAATAAAGAAATATATAGATAGCATATAATATTTTACAATATAGTATATACGTGTGCACTAAGTGCATGACAAAATAAATGATATGCATAACACGAAAATGTGTCGATAACGTGTTATATATATATTTTTTGTGGGAGGATGTTCTTTGAAGAATATATGCAGATAAAAATTTTCATAATTAATTCTTCTATTAAGTACGATACATTAATAATATTAATAATAATGTTAATTAATAATAGATAATAATATATAATAGCAAAATAACAATAGTATAATAATAATTTACTTTACCCAAAATTCTTTACACGTATCTATACACATCGAAGACATTTTGCACCACTCGCATTTCTACGAAATTTGATTTACATAAATCACTAGAAATATTATTCTGATGAGCAAGGAAAATTTATTTACAAAAACAGTTTATGTAAAATTATCATTTGTAATGATTAAAAATAAATTTTTGAACAATAAAACTCAGTGATGGATAAGTGCTGTTATCTCGAAATAAATACGAGACTTGTTGATGCAAAACATTTCTTGACATGTGACCATTTTCTAATATAATAATATAAATTTAATATTTCTCGCTATCACTATTATCTTTTCTACTGTATTATCTTTGATAATAAAACTACAGATGTGACATTTATGTGAGTATACAATTCTCTTTGCAATTTTATGCTATACTAGATCAGCCGTGCACCATCAGCTATGCACCATCAGTCGTGCACCATCAGCCGCCTATCATAATTTTATCTAAAATATTTGTATAACACTGTAAATAAGATATTAGAAATTCAAAAAATTTAATACTTTGTACAAAATTTCAGTAAAACGATAATCTACTATAATAAAAATATGATCTTGATTATATTGAATATTTACATAGATCATTATCCTATTATATTTTTATTCATGATTATTGCAATTTTGTTTACTGTAATTTGTTGACAGGCGACAATCGTGCCACTGATACCGATATAATTTCAGTTAACTGAAATCTATAAGAGATCGTTTTTATGCACAGAAGATATTTATAGACAGAATTTCAGAAGATAAAATTGCAATTAAACGTTTCTCGTACTGGAAATGAAGTGGGAGTGAACGAATTGAGTTGCAACTAAATATCTTGCTTGTGTGAAGATTCGGAATGGAAATATTCTTCCGATTAACGAGGAGAACATACCTTCTATCACGAGATAAAAATGTTTTGATACATTTGCAGTAGCACCAACTACATGATGAAACATGCACACAAACGTCTTGGTTCTTCTCGGTTATGAGGGAAAGGAAAGTTTCTAAAATCCAGCATGTCAGTTTAATCCGCGGATTGCGATGCACTAGAAGGAGAAACACTAGCTACTATAGCAAGTCTTACGCACGTCTGCAAGTATAACACTGAAATCATCATCGGCCTTGGGCACGTGCTCCATACTCTGAGTCTGCGGCTGCGGATGCTGTTGCGTGCTCGAATGATCTGTATATTTCGACACCTCCAAACCCGAGTACTGCTCCATAGTGTGACCGATTGCGACGTTAGAACAACGAGCGTCCTTGTTGCCCTGCTGATCGTCGATAATGCACTGAGAGTTCGGTATGTCCAATTGAGATTGCGGCGGTGCTCCATAATAACGCAGATCGCTGGCATAGTTATGATTACTGTCCAACATACTCTGCGAGGACAAGCTCGAATGTGCCACGCTCGTCGGATGGGAATACTTGAAATATTTTTCCAATTGAAGTGTCTGCTGTTGATCATCCTCGGCGCTCATACCAGGATCGATGTGACCGCCGAGGATCGCGTGTTGCTGCTGGCCACTGCCAGAAGACGCGTCCGTTTGGTACTCTTGATGATGCGGCATTTGGTATCGATGCGTCACTGTACCTACAAGAAATTAAAATCTAAAGATTTGAAATCTAAAATTAAAAAAAAAAAAACTTCAAATGTAACTTTAACGTAATAAACAAAAAAAATTGAAAAAAAAATTAATTATACTTTTAATTAAATTATTGATAACTTTCCGTGATCTGTGACATTCGCCAAATATAGATATTAGAAAAATCCAAGTTCCTTGGGAATTTTTTTCAGGAAATGATTTTATTTAAAAAATAAATTTAAAAGCAATTATTTCTAAATTATTTCTATAAAAAAGTTTATATATTTTCTCTAAATATAATACTGCCGCATATAATACTGTCTCTCAAGTTTGTGTGCTAAGTTTCTTTTAGTCTTTATTCTACAAATTAAAAATAAAAATATTTCAAATTCTAATAAATAAAGAAATAAAAATAATTTGAATTTAGCATAGGTGAAAACAAAACGTTACCAGGACAACTTTCGGCGGCTCCGCGAATTCCAATGGATTGCTGTCGACTGCCAGCACATTGGACCGGATTGTAATTACTCTCGATGGTGGGCTGCATCGAATAGTTCGCTGCGTTCTTGGATGTCTGCGTGCCGCTGTAATGCTGCAACGATTGATCGTGTGGCGAGGCGACCGGCGGATAAAACGTGCCTGTGACGGAGCCGACGTTGTCGAAACCGGAGCGCAATTTATTGCACGATACCATCATACCGTTCGCTATGCCCACCGCGGCTATACTCGTGGATTGTCTCTCGAAGTTCAAGTAGCCAACCTATGACAAAAAACATAATTGCCAAAAAGATGCAACTCTGATCGTGCATGATGCAAAGAAAACAACATAACGTCAATAGATCATAAAGATTTAAATTAATTTATTTAATAATAAAAGAAATTAAATTAAGTTCTGTTAAATTGGAAGCAAATAGATTAATTAAATTTTTATATATATGAAACACGTACGGATTTTTTATATGTTAAAGTGTCTGTGTAACCACCAGAATTCTGACACGATGATATGCTAGTGCTACTAGCGTGACCCGTGTGCAGCTGATTGTCACTACTCATAAAAGCATATCGTTTCGTCTGATCGGTCATATCTCCGTGTTGCTTCGAGGTACCTTCCATCAGATCTCGTTCTGGATCCGGATTTTGAGCGGACGATAGATGACCACCGTCACCTGATAGATTAAATCATCCATTAATTTTGAAATACCTTATATTTTAACTTCTGCCCTGTATTAGATAAATTTTTACAACTATCTAATCGGTATTTGATTTTAAAAAAATTTACCATCGGGCTCGGGACTGGCCACCGGAGATATATCCGGGGTATGGATAATGGGCGTGTAAGGGCTACCGTAGAGCGAATTATTTTCCGATTTATATTCCTGGATACTCTGCTGCTGTTGTTGATGATACAAAGATGAAATCGGGGAATGGCCACCCCATGGGATTTGAGACATGCTCTGGTAACCGTCCATCTTGGACCTTAAATGCATTTCGATTACATATACCACTTGTAATGAACGCAATGTGTTGTCGTTTCCTACGTTACCGTATATTTACATTCCCTATCAAAACGAATACGTCAAACGCTATTAAATCTCAAATACGACGTTAACGTTGTTTGGTGCTTCGTTTAAATCTCGCCGGAATCTCTCAATTAAGCGCGGCGGTTACCTCGCACGTACCTTCATTAGCGGAAAGTACCGGTCAGAGTATCGACTTACATGGAATGATGAATCGCCGGGCCGGCAGAGTTGGACCTGTTGCCTGCGGTGTTGGTCGCCGAGGGAGGCGAGGACGGTGCACCGGGTGTCCGTTTCGCGTGCTTCCTACGCCGCGGCCTATACTTATAATTCGGATGTTCCTGCATGTGTATGACCCGAAGCCTCTCGGCCTCCTCGACATAGGGCCTTCTGTCCTGTGGCGTCAACCCTCGCCATTTCTTACCTGCGAGAAATCCGAATGAAGCCCCCGTCAAATAAAGGATGAAGGAGAGATGGAGGAAAGGGAAAAAAAAATCAAGAGCAAAACGCGTGTAAAATGATTAAACGACACACGGTATACACAGAATGATTCTTACCATCGTTCCGGAACTGCCTGCGCCGCATAAACATAAATATGAAAGACGTAATATAGTAAAATATTATGCAATTATAATCATTGCAATTCTTTGATACAATATTAGAATATTAAAATCTTTTTGTATAAAGTTTTGCGTAAAACTTTTCGTAAATATTAATGTTAAATGAAAATAAATATTTTAATTTTAAAAATCATTTTTCCAAGTACCTAAAGATATTTTAATGTCAAACTTGATTTATAAATTTATTTTGATATTTTTTTTTAAATTTCTTTCGTTTTCTAAAAATTACATTTTTTTGATGGAATGAATTATATTCAGATCACATCTCATCGTCTATGTCTCGGAAGATGAATTCATCAAATCATCCCTTAAATCATATGTGGACATCGTCGACGTGCAAAATTATATCGTGCTTTAATATATATATATATATAAAACGTAATACCCATGAAATTTCACGTGTTCGTATAAATACCCCCGATAAATTACGCTCCTCGACAATAATGGGGCGAGGTTACGGTGTATACATCTCGATATCCTGAATCTCGATAAAATCATCGGTCGATCCCTTTGGCTAACGACGCGCTTAATTCGGCTCGCAAGAAAAAAAGGGAGAGAGAGAGAGAGAGAGAGAGAGAAACAAGGAAGAGGAAGAGAGAGCTCTTATCTCTCTCTCTCCTTCTCGCTCGACCCCAATATATGATGCAAAAGGGAGCACAGAAATGATCTCTACCTCCCGCATACACATCGTATATACGCGTACGGATATACGTATTTACAGGTGGGCTTGGTCGTCGTCATCGTCATCATCGTCGTCATCGTCGTCGTCGTCGTCGTCGTCGTCGTCGTCGGCGGAGGGTCTTGGTCCGACGACCAAGCCTGGAATCTGCCTCAGTTGCGTTCAATATGCCAACATGGTAAGGCCGGAATATCATTAAGCGAGGCATAAGGGTTAATACGAACGTAAGATATCGCGACAAGAATGAAAAAGTTGAACGCGAGGCGGATATCATACATACATACATACACGATATAGATACATGTACACCATGCGACACCATGCGACGCAAAAATTTTATATATAAATAAATATAAATATATTAAAAATATATATAAATATGTATTATATATACATATGGTGCGTATACATATGCATACAGTTGTGTAAAGGTACATAGGCGCATGGGGGCGTAGATATGGGTGCGCCCGTGCCTTTAGCCAGCCACAAGGCACGGACCAGTTATTTCATATTTCATTTGTATATTTCAACTCTCCAGAGGAGAGAGAGAGAAAGAGAGAGAGAAGGAGGTACAGACGAGCCAGGAGAGAAGGAGGGACGGAGAGTAAGAAAAAAAGAAGAGAGCGTGAATCGATCGTTGCGGGGATCATATTGTCGAAATCGCACTTTGTCGTGCCGAACTCTTTCCGCCCTATTCACTGATAATAAACAGTTTGCGACAGTGCTTTCAGAGTTCTCTCGCGGAGAATGTTTCTGCGACGAAGAAAAACGAAGAGAGAAAAGGAAAGGAAAGAAAGGATTCTCGCGAAAGAGAGGAGAACGCTTTTGTCGCCCGCAAATGTTTTCCCGTCTAGCGGCTCCTCGTTTCTTTTCGGATTCCGGCCAGCCGATTCTTCAACCTCTCCTTGTGTGTGAAAAGAGAAAAAGAAATAAAGGAAAAAACAAAAAAAAACTTCGGGAGAGGCTACCCGGCAAAGGGGACACAAATGAGGTTTTCGGCTAACAATAAGTACACTTAATTTAATATTCCTGGGCGCGCGCGAGCGGCGAGTTATCCCTGGCGGTGATTCATCATCACACCCGCGCACGCTGCGTCCCACCGTGATGTCCTCGTTAAGTATTCTAATGGTTGGCGTGTATCTCTAATTTACTGCGCTTAGGCCGCGGCCCGGTCGGACGACTTCATTAATTTCGATGTTTCGAGCAAAAGGGAGCTGCTCGCCGGCGGATTAGGTCGCGTCGTCGAGGAGGTTCGAGTCCGAAATGACGACCCAGTTTAGTTCGCCAGGATTCTCGCGTCGAATATAATCGAACCGAATGGAGAAGGTGTGTTAGGCTTTTCCTAAACAAGTACAATGTTTTACGATGTTTAAAAAAATTATAAGCCGTGTGAGAAACTTGAGTTATATCGCATTAGCGCGCGCGGCTAAAAGCAAAGTAGACATTATTAATGTACAATCATTTCGATATTCATTTCGATATTCTGTGCATTAAACGCGCCGTCGCGCGTGCGTTGCGTACGCGGATATTTTGTAAGAATGTTCGATGCTAATAGGCTTTCCATCTCACGATTTCTATCGACTCCGAGCGTTTCTATCTTAGCGAATAGATTATAAATTAGCTAGTCGAGCATCGCGACAAATTGCGAGACTGCCAGCGAGCGAAATCGCGCATGTCGAAAGGTCCCCCCCCCCAATCGAGTCTCCGCGATCTCGCGCAAGAGCCGCGTCTCTCTCGGTTTCGCCGCGGCGTCCCAGCCGTTGACATTTTCCAGAAAGCTCGTTCGTTCTACCGCCTAATTAACGATTCCGCGGTGATTTACGCACGCGCCCCTCGGTAATTCACCCGGTCGGCGATCAGGCGATTAAACTCCGCCGTTCTTCTCTTTCCCCCCCCCCCTCCTCTCTCTCTCATGAATGCTGCCCAGACACTTTGAGAATTTTGTTATGGACGTTACAGACGATGCAGAGACTCGCGTGCGCAAACTGGCACGTGACATTTTCAGAATCGAGCTAGAAACTCCTCGTATGCGGCATTTAGAATATAACCGACCGACCGATCGATCGATCGTCGTCGCCGCCGCCGGAGTTGGTTAGCACCCGCTTAATCCAGCCTGTTTTTCCCGACTTTAATTGCGCGCGTACACCCGGATAAATCCTCGATATTATATACACGATGATTTTCCTCGGTGTAAAGTCCAGCAGCGACCGATCGACAGGCCCTACGAGAAAAAATGCGCGATCGACCGCGCATTTCTCCAAATTGACGAAATTGACGAAATACACGAAGAGATCTAGAGAGAAGAGATAGAGAAAATCGCGCGATGTGTCGTCGCGCAAACGATGCGTGTGCAGCGACGAGAGACGGGGAGGAGGACGAAGTGAGGAGAAGAGGAGGAAGAAGAGGGGCCGGAGAGCGAGGCCCCCACATCTCGGTGGGACCGCGCATCGCGCGCGTACCCCGCCCAACCTGGGTCGCCCACTGTCACCATTAATAATACGTCTCCCGTCCCGTGATGTATCTCATCTCCCTCGGCGCTGGTGTGTGCTCGCCCACCGACGTGCGCACACCGACGCCGCTGCGCGTTCACCTGTACAAATGCAAGAGGCGTCGATGCGGCATCATCGCGCGGTGCCGCGCGATCTGGGAGGGGTCCGTCGTGCACGAAGGATTTTTCGGCAAAATTCAAAAAGCCACGATGAGCCAGGAGGATCGATCGAAAGACAAGCGACACGATCGTCGGAGAGTCGTTTAACTACGTTTTTTTTTTATCGAGACATGCTGAATTAGAAGCGAAAGAGCGTTCGTAGAAAAAACTCGAACGCTTTGGAGGAATTACGCGGAATGACGTCGCGACTCTAACGATGATGTCTATTCTACAATTATCCACTCGCTAGGACAGAGACATCAGGTAAACTCGTACGTATGTAGGCATTACACGGTGTGTAGACGCCAGACAAGTCAAGCCATTCAGACTCGCCTCGTAAGAGATACTCGTTGAGAGTGTGATGACCGATTCGAATAGCGGGCACGTGGACGAGTCATCTCCTCGTGTCCCGCGGAGACACGGAATCCTGACGTGCGCTGATCCCTGCGCTTCGCGGCACAAAGAAGAATTTATCTGGCACGGGTAATCGCCGTGTGTGGCGCGTGATGAGATATCTTAATGAGATATCTTTTAGCGGTTGAAACTCGGAAGGGCGCGAAGTGACGAAATGAGACTCGAGAGGGAATTATCACATCGTTCCCTTTAATTCGCGGTTCCGCGCGCTTCAACTTCGTTAGCATTAATATAAAGATGAAAGAACTGGGGAGAGAAAGAAAAGGGGAAAGAGAGTCAGCGCGCGTGTTCCAACGTTCGCCTCGGAATTTTCTCCGTGAAGAATCGACCGGAAAAAGCGGCACGTTAGTCGCGCCTTGTTCTTCAGACGCGTGTCACGAAACCGCGAAAGAAACGTTTCCGCACTGCCGGCGAAAAGACAGTGACGCGTCCGTGCTCGTTCCTTCGTTTCAAGAGGATGTGAAGGAGATACGCCGCGTCGTAAACCTGGGAGGGGGGGGGGGCCGAACTTTGCGGGAGAGTTTGCGGAACGACCGACCGAATCGGCGTGAGAAATCTCGGCGGACGATTCCGTGCGATTTCGCGTAAGAGAGTTCCGCGTACAAATTCAGATTCTAATTCGCTGGTCTCGCTAATTTCGCGATTTTAATCGCGCGATTCACGCCAGGCGCGACCAAAAAAAAAAAACAAATTTCGCGCTTCCCAATCAAATTCGCCCACGCGGGTCGCATCACTTGTAAATCACTCGGTACGTCGTAAGATATCGCGACGCACGAGCGTCACGTGAATTATCATATCACTTCATCTGTCGCTTTTTCTTTCCTCTTTTTTTTTTCTCCTTTCCGATCCGACCCGTATAGGCGTGGTGCGGACGATTCACGTCGGAGATCATAAGAGGGACAAAAGTCGGAGTCGCGGATGAATCGGCCGACGAGCCCGTCCACGCTCGAGGGCTTCCTCCTCCTTCTCTCCCTCCTCCATCCGCCCTCTCGACCGTCCCCACGTGTATTTTCATAAATATAATAATTTATTTCTATCTCTTCGCGAAAGCGAGCAAGGATAGA